AAAAAGATCGAGGTTCAGGCAAAATGTACAAGCCTAATGAGAAGGAACTAAAGATGTGGATGTTTCGTTGTGTATTCAATTGATGATTCCTTGACAGATGCCCTGAATTCAAATTCCTATATTTGATTACTATACTTTTAAGTTAAGCTGAAATGATCCTGTTATTATTGCTCTATTCCTATGCTACTAGACGTTCTATCCACCTTTTTGACCAACCTATCCGCAAACTCATTTGCGCATTGGTCCCTTCCCCACAAAAAAAAATTGAGACTAGAGGTATCTCTGCTGTTGCTTATGATGTTTGTTTATTATTGTTTATGATGATGCTGTTCTTTTATGATGATGCTGTGATTATTGTTTATGATGATGCTGATAATATTTTATTGTTCTGTTTTTAATTGTATGTTTCCTCAGGCTTGGCCCTATGTAAGCCACTCCGAGTCCCTTCGGGGAAATGGAGGCGGGGTAAACAAATAAACAACTTCTTATTCTTATTCCTCTTCTTCTTCTTCTTCTTCTTCTTCTTCTTCTTCTTCTTCTAAATTTCATCCAAGTGAGCATGGATTGAGCTCTGGCATATAAGGCAACATATTGCAACTCAATTTACCCAGAGTGAGAAGCATGAAACTTTACACAGTCACCATAACCAGGGTGACTAATATAAAGGAGGCTTTCTAGAATGAGCCAACACCAGGAAATGTCATCTAGCAGTTCATTTTTCCAGGAAGAAAGAAAACCAACAAAGATCTAGCTACTTCTGATGGCACATACGCCCCATGAGTCATGCAAATGACTTGAATAATCTGTCTCCCATCCACATCAGTGATCCACATTTAGTTTCTGTAGCAGTTTGTGTCAGTACAGACATAGCAAATGGAAACAAGTATTGAAAATTGTATATCATGTGATTGCCTAAATAAAACTGAAATACATAAGTGAATAGAATTTGTATTAAACATTGAAAATCAGATTCATTTCAGCTAAATAATTGTGATGTCATGTCATGAGGATTGGTGTCCACAGGGGCAGCCTGACTGAGTATGTGAAAGTGGAAGTGCTGAGGATTTTGATATCAATATAAAATGGATATGGCTTTACAAGACAAATCATTTCTCCAATAGTTCAAAGATGTTGAAAGGTGATTTTAAAAAAAAGTAATAATGTGTAAATGTGTTCTATGCTGAAATCTAACTCCTTGGTCACTAGGACTGATTTATCTCTGATTAAAAGTTGATCTCCAGCCATACAAGAGCTTACTACTAGAAAGTTAAATAACAACTAATAATTTAGATAAAATTTCATCACTCCCCTTATAAAACAGATCGCTTTAATTTAGATTCCATTTCAAGAGAAATGGCATTTAGATATAAGACTGAGTATATATATATATATATTTTCAAAGAATTGCTAAGAGAACATGAACCATTTTTGGACCTGAAATGTTCCCATGCAACAGAAAGGGAACATAAGAACTGCATCAATAAATCAGATCAACAATAATGCCTGTGTGGTTTGGGATTAAAAAAGAAAAATCAGAAGGTTGTCATAAAGGCAAGGTAGAGTTAGTATGTTGAAGATAACATAATGTGGTTTTAATTTGAGGGATATTTGCAGAGGTAAAATCTGTCAATGTCCCTACAATTTGCCCATTTGTTTTGGCCTGCACCATATTGTTTGTCCCAAATGAAGTTAGATTAACTATTGGAATGAAGCCCGAATACGTTTTTTAAAAAAAACAGTCCAGTTCTGCATCCTTTTCCCAAAAGTGCCCAGCCAAGATTTGAATATCCAATTTATTATCATAATATTCATATAGGCAAATGATCTTTGGCCTTAGAAGTACTACTGCTAGTAGCTACAATAGGTATAAAAGGGTAAGGTAAAGGTTTCCCCTTGTCAAGTCCGATTCTGGGGCTTGGTGCACATCTCCATTTCTAAGCCGAAGAGCCAGCATTGCCTATAGACACCTCCTAGGTCATGTGGCTGACATGACTGCATGGAGTGCAGTTACCTTCCCACCAAAACGGTACCTATTGATCTACTCACCTTTACATGTTTTGAACTGCTAAGTTGGCAGAAGCTGGGGCTAACAATGAGAGCTCACCCTGCTCCCCGGATTCAAACCGTTGATCTTTTGGTCAGCAAGTTCTGCAGCTCAGCAGTTTAACTCGCTGCACCATCGGGGGCTCCTACAATAGGTATAATTTCTATCAAATGCCTGCTCCTTGTGTTAGTGTGTGTGTGTGCACATGCATTGCAAGGCTTTGAGTAATGTATCACTTTAGGCCAGGGGTCCTCAAACTTTTTAAACAGAGGGCCAGGTCACAGTTCCACAAACTGTTGGAGGGCCGGATTATCATTTGAAAAAAAACATGAATTTCTATGCACACTGTACATATCTTATTTGTAGTGCAAAAAACACTTTAAAACAATACAATAATCAAAATGAATTTTAACAAATATAAACTTATTGTTATTTCAATTAGAAGTGTTGTTGTTGTTGTTGTGTGCTTTCAAGTCATTTCAGACTTAGGTTGACCCTGAGCGAGGGCTGGATAAATGACCCTGGAGGGCCGTATGTGGCCCCCGGGCCTTAGTTTGAGGACCCCTGCTTTAGGCAAACACCATGGATTTAGTAGGGTTATCTTAATTCTTATAACTATTTGAACTAGCAGCTATGTAGTCTTAGGACTCTCACACGAGGCAGGCAAACTAGAATCAAACCTTTGGTGAGAGTCCTTATTGCACAATACAATGTCCATCCTGCTTCTGATCTGACTCCATCCCGTTATTAACCCATACTTTGCTATTAACAGGTCAAACCTATCAATAGCTCACAGTTCCACAGTATTGGTGAGATGGGTCAGTTCCATTTCTGTGACAGCATGCCAAATATCAGAAACCATAATTCTCCTTTTCTTTTACTCATTTTCCTGTTCACTATTCCAAGCTGTTTGATTTTAGTTTATTTAATTATTTTCAGGGATACTTGACTTTTTGTTTTGTTTTTCTTTGCTGAAACAGCGAAATTGTTAAAATATATATTTAAAATTGGAGTGGCGGGAGTTCAGAAAGCAGGGTTATGAGGCTATGCAGAAATATGATTGTAGAACTACAGATTGGTGAAATACGACCTAATCACATTGTTGAGGTTGCGCTGGGCAATTCACCAGCCTCCGTTGCAAATGCAACTGCGACTTTAAGGGGATTGTTATATTGCCAAAAAAAGTCCATTTTTGAGGTATAATCATAATGCAATCACATTTTCATTTTTAGAATAATAAATAAATTACAAATAATTTATTATTGATAATTAGCTAGTTTCAGTCTCTGCAATGAAATTATGTTTTCCATGTGAGTTTTGTGCCTCCTTGAAAATGTGAACTCAGTATTCAATGCCATTTGTTTAGATACTGTATCACAGAGAAAACAAATGTCTGCAGTACAGAAAACAATATACAGAATTGTTATGTAGAACAAGTTCATAATTTATATGTTCAAATGATCAGACTAATAATAACTTATAGTAAAATAAAGAAGGAGAGACCTTGGTCTATAATAAATCATTAAACACTATGATCTTGTAACATTAAATTATACATAGTACTGTAGATTTATTTCTAATCTTTTCCACTGTCGGTTAAAAAAACCCGGATGAGTCACACATTTATCTACATCAGCAAGAAGATAATAATTTTCATCACCTTCTCCATTGTAGACATTGTTTGTTTCTCATATTTGTCATGAAGAAATAAATCTCCAACTCCAACAAAAACATAATGTAGGACTAATGTGCTTGAAGGTCGGCTTGATACTGATGAATAGATTGTGAAAAATTTGAATCATCTCATATTCATTTTAATTTAATTATGTTAGTATCGGCATCATCATTATGAATATTATTGGTGAAACTCTGTTGGGTAGGGAAATCTAGGTACAGTTTTCAAAGTAATCCCTCTGAGAAAGCTCAAAATCCAGCTTTTTTGTGAAGCTGCAAAAATTCATACCTTCCCATTGTCCTGATTTAATAGGGGCAATTGCCGTTCCAGCAGATTTGATTCCAGGACTCTAGGTGGATACAAAAATACGTAGATACTCATGTCCCATATATATAAAGTGACAAAATAATGGCTTGCTTTTTGGAATTTTTAAAATATATATATTTGAGCCATAAATGGTTGAATTTGTGAACAGAGTATCCATGGATACAGAGGGCCAGGCCCATAGCCAGGATTTGGATTTGGGAGGGGGGGTGAGTTTGATTCGGGGGGGGGGAGTCTGAGTGAAAGAGGGTCTACCCTAGCAAATCTTTTGTATAGTTACCCCAATACCCCCATGCATATGAGATATATTGAGCATGGTGATCAGATCATGATATGAATAAACATAACAGTTTACATAATGTACCTGTAAGGCCTTCTCGCAGACCACCATGAGAATTTCGGGGGGGCTGAAGCCCCCAAAGCCCCCCCCCCCCCCAGCTACATGCCTGCAGAGGGCAGATTGTAATCCTCTGCTGTCTCAATTTTTCAACATAGGGTCCATCCAGCCTGGCCAAAATTTGGGACCTCTCTTGGTTTTTACCAGAGGCAACCAAAGGACACCTCCGGTAAAAACTAATTCAGAACAAACCAAGGTTTCCTTGTCTCGTTCCGAATTAATTAAATATCTAATCAAATCTGATCCTTCCTGAAACGCCCGGGGCTAATGGAGTATTGGGTCTGCGGAGACTGACTTCCAGGGTCAAATTCTGCAATCCCGGGGGTCTGTCTCCACTGCCATCTTGCACCTTTTGGGTGCCCACCCCCTCCCCTCAAATGCCCATCATCCCCTAAAGCTTTCTAAAAATGTCCCTGGCCACCATTAATCTTTCTCTCCCATCCTCCTGGTGCAAGAAAATGCTCAATAAATGTTTCCTAGTCTTATTCCAGATGCTTTGTTGATGACAAATAGGCTACAGTGACAGCCCTGCCACCCCTTAATCACACCAGTCTGTTATTTTATTGCAATTACATTGTTTAAGCATAGATAAATACCATTATTGAAATGATCTCTTTCACACTTCAGTGCAATTGTGTGATGCTGACACTTTGTTGACATGAATTCTTATGAGCAGTCTTCTGCAAAGTCTCATTTTCCTACTTGTGTTTGCTCTACTTAGCACATACATGGTGTGTCTTTTAAATCTTAATTTTTGTGCTATTTTGCCATATCTTTAGAGTTGCATGGTTTCTCACCCGACCTTCCATTGCTTCACAATACCAGGAGTGCAGCAAAAGGAAATTATGACATAAAGAAGAGTAGAAGAACCAATATTGGATTCATTGACCGTGTAGAAATGTAGCAGGGAGCATGTCAGACATGCATTCATACCTTGAAAACCTGTTCTTTTATTTTATAAAGTCAAAAATCCCGGGTTGATGTGAGCACCCCTCATACAAATATTCACATTATAGGAGACCACACTAACTTTTCATGCTTAGAAACATTAATTGTCCAACATATCTGTCACAATAATTACAATGCATTATTGATAGGCAGACTGAGTAATCGCAAGCATATAATATCAGGCAAATATATTAGATGTTCCAGTTTGGAACTCCTTTCTCTTGGCTGAATTCAACACAATATACCCTCTTGTAATTTTGAAAGCAAATACCTGCATAGAAGGAGCTAACAGCTAAGCAGGTAGCAAAGGTATGTCCTGGACTTTCCCAGCTCTGCAGTTGCTTGTTTGGATATAAGAAGGCAAATTATTGGTACTTTTATTTCACAATAGCTAGAATAATGGTATGATAAAATACTCTTCTCATATTGCTACCAACTTAAAGATACATCTACTAAATACACATTGAGCATTATTCTCTTATGCAGAATTCCAAAACACTCTGAAATCTGGCACAGTGACTTTATGGTGGTTCAATATATACAAACTTTGCTTCATGTACAAAATTTTGAAATATTGTGTAAAACTACCTTTAGGCGATGTGTTTTATGTATAGATGCAATACAATTCATTTTATGTTTAGATTTGGGTCTTGTCTTCAAGATACCTCACTATGTACATATATGCAGATGCAAGTATTCCAAAATAAAAAAAACTGAAATCCAAAATACTTATGGTCCCAAGCACTTTATATAAGAGATATTCTGTTTGTATCAGAATGATTCAGTCCTTAATGGGGCATAATCTGAATTTACCACTTGGTCCATAAACTAGTTTGAGTGCATATTTTCTTCCTCCCACATGATCAGAGAGAGAACACCTATTGAGTTTGGTAACTTTCACTTTATATGGAAGCTGGCCTGTCTTTCTGTCTGAACTAGAAATTGTGGCTTAAAAATACAAACTCTGCTTCATTTGAAAGCACATGTATTCCAAATCCTTTCTGGATTCTCCTGTTTTAAACCACACTCTGTAGCTTGGATGCAACAATACGCTTATGATCTTTACCCATCGTATGAACCTTTCAACACAGTTGAGGGATGGAGCCCACTGGATCCCATCAAATGATGTACGGTATATCTACTTCTGCCGGGACTCCATCTCTCAACTGTGGAAAAACTGTCATAAGATGAAACAATGAGAACAAGTGAGGCTTCCTGTGTTCTCATTGAGAAGGATGGGGCAAGTGTGGGGGGAAGTTGAGCAGCGACCCTTCCCCCCGTGGGATGTGTAAGGGGAGATGTGGGGCACGGGGCGATGCATTCCCCCCACGACCTGCTGGATTTACCATCCCGCATGGTGAATCCCCCAGCTAACACCCGCTGTGTGGACCTCAGTGCGATGAGGTCCTTAGTTTAATTGGAAGTGAAAGTCAACTTGACAGGACTCTTTCTCCAGACTATACAGGCAGATGAAAGAGGTAAATACATGACTCTGATACTTCATTCTGACTCCTGGCTGTTCCTTCTGATTTCTAAAAAGTCTGGCACAATAGTATGTGAGGTCAGACCACCAGGGAAAAAAAGTTAATCAAAAAGACTAATTTCAGATGTCACTTTGATTTAAAAGACCGCTACATTTCTTCAGATTGTTGTCAAAGACTTCAGGTTGCTGAGCATTTAACTGGGTTTGACTGCTGCCATAGACATATATTCATTGGTGTAGTCGTGGGAACTTTGGATATGTTGGCAAACCTGAGGACAAAAAGAGGGGGGCATGGATATTAGAGTGGCACTTTCTATACATATGGCAATTTCTATACATATAGAGATGTATGTATCTTTCCAGGATTTGTTGGCTGCAAGTCCCAGCGGTTTTATTACATCAATGTATAATGATGGAAGTTGTAATCCTACACCATATGGAGGGAGGACACATGATCCTCATCAATGGCATGCATCAACACTAACACAAATATGCATAGCCTTAGCTTTTCTTTCTTTATAGGACAATGAGTTTTTACACAGTTTCTTCAGCACATTCTGACAGATATTCGAATTGATTTGGGAGGCAGCAAGTGCTTTGCAATATGTGAAATGTAACATTAACATTTATCCCCCTGACCTCCAACCCAGGATATTCCCTTCAGGAAGCAAGTATTAACAAAAGCTCACCAATGCATGTACTGGCCCAAGATACATATACAGGCAATCCCCAAGTTATGAACAAGATGGATTCTGTAGGTTTGTTCTTAAGTTGAATGTTTATGTAGGTTAGAAAGGATGCATTTTTAAGTGTAGCTCCAGATATATATATGTGTGTGTGTCTATATATATAAGTATATGGATGAATAGCTTTTGATAGGACAGGAAGCAGGGCCGTAGCCAGAAAAAAATTTCGGGCAGGGTTGAAAATTTCAAGGGGGGGGGTTGAAAATTTTGGGGAGGGTTGAAAATTTGGGGGGGGGTTGAAACCTGCCTCCTAGCTCACGCTGAAGCAAAGAGCACAGCAGGGGGCAGAGCAACCTTCAATAGCCTGCAGCTCCGCCCCTGTCAACCACCTCCACCAAGTCTGGCCTCCTTAATGAGAGCATTCAACACACCCCCAACTTGGTTGCTTCACTACATCGGCTATTGCTGCAAGTAATGACAGTGTGAATAAATTGTCAATATTTGCTTGAGATAGTGCTTGCAGTTCTGGAGGGACTCTTAATTTTTTTGCGTCTCATAGACTTAGCATGGGGATTTGGTTAACCAGTTAAAATTCATGAGTAAACCAGGTTTTTTTTAACCTGAAAAAATTTGGGGGGGGGGGGTTGAACCCCTACCCCCTCCCCCCCCCCCCCCGGCTACAGGCCTGACAGGAAGGGCTAACACCCCCGTGGTGTTTGTTTTGCTGTCTGTGCCCCGTTCAGAAGATTTCACCTCACTTTCTTTTAATTAGATTTTGAAAAAATTGGCTTGTTGTGGAAACAAGGACTGGTTATAAAACTTCAGATAAAACATCCTTTCCCCCTTGATATTTTTTTCAGGAGTGAATTTCCCTTCTGAGGGGTAGATTTCTCTCACTTCCTGTTGTCTCACCCCTGTTCTTAACTAGGAGTTATTTGTAAGTCAGTGTTTGTAACTTGGTGACTGCCTGTGCCAACAACGTTGATGTTGCTATCCCACTTTTTCACCAGACTAGGGGTCAAGACCATTTAAAACAGACATAGCTTAAAATTGACAAGGTTCTAAACACAATGAAATTATGAAAAATTAAGTTAAAAATATAAACTACTTTTTAAAAGAAAAGAAAAGTCAGCATATTATCCAAGAGCCATTCCCCCTAACAATCAATACTCAAAGGCCTGCCAAAACAAAAAGGTCTTCACCTGTCAATAAAACCTAACCTTGGGGCAGCCATCAAAAATGCCCTTTCCCATGTATCTATAAACATGGTGGGATAGAGACACTGCACTCTCCATGTATCTCAAATACAGACAGTTTCATATGGGAGAATACGCTCTTTCAAATAACCTGCTCTGAGCCATAAGTTGTAACTGCACTTCAATTATGCCTGGAAATGAACCGGCAGCCAGTAGAGTTGTTACAACAGGAGAGTTGTGTAGACCCTATAGGCAAGCCTATTTAACATTCTGGCTGCACCATTTTAGACCAGCAGAAGACTCTGAACACTCTGGTTAAAGTATATTAATTGGCTCTACCTACCCAAATTCGAAAAAGAACAATCCAAAAATCAGTCATGATCTCTGTCTACTTCCCATGGCTGTGACATGCTGCTTAAGTGACTTCAGAGCTTGCCAGGACTCACCACTTATTCATTCCTCCTTTGGAAAGAAGCAATCAAGGGAATTGCTTCTTTGGATATTTTTACTGATGAGCACAAAGTTCTCTCTCTCTCTTTTTTTCTCTTTCTCTCTCTCCTAAGGATCTGAGTCTTTAAATCAATAAACAACTCTGTCTTGTAAAAAATTAAAACTAAATTGCTGCCACTGGTGACTAATTCCAGGAGTAAGTAAATGGCTCGATTTTGTTCATCAAAGCAGTTTCCCTTTAGTATGCAGACGCTGTTGCCCCACTTACTTAAATTGTCACTAAACAAAAGCCCAACACTGCCATTGTATCTCCACAGGAATGGGGAAGGGGTTTTGGAAAAACTCACCGCATTTCTGAAGCAGCAAACTATTAAACAGAAGATGCAGACCCAAAGGCAAAATGCAGTGACTCCAACGAGTATCCATGAGTTCAATTCAGAAAACAAGCAAGGTTTCGCTGAATCTTGAACAAAAGCAATACAGTACCTAGAATTAGTACTTGAATTCTAAGACCACCACAGTGAGTTGTCTGTGTGATACAGACCAATGGCTGCTCTTGATTTCTCTTTTCTCCACCACCAACCATCCTCAACAGTGATGACACCTATCAGTACCATAGTTATGGCTTTCACCACTGATGGAAGAAAGGCAGGTAATGAAGAATATGTGACACAGTTGTCCACAGTTTCTCCTATAGTCCATGCCTGACATCTCTACTCTCTTAGCACCTTGTAATAGATGAGAAATGGTCAACTAATCTTAGTTCCCTGTTACGTCTGAGCCTGGAAGCAATTATTACTATTGTTTGGAGCAATACAGGAAACCAGTATCAGTTCAAACTGCCTTTGTCAATGCCAGTGGTTCTCAACCTGTGGATCTTGGCCTATAACTCCCAGAAATCCCAGCCAGAAATCCCAACTGATAGGATTTCTGGGAGTTGTAGGCCAAAACATCTGGAGACCCACAGGTTGAGAACCAGTGGTCAATGCGAAGTATTAATGTACAAGTCATGGCCAGAAAACTGCCCACCCCCCTTTCTTTTTCCATAAAGTCCAAATCCTAAAATACTTGGCTCAGGAGCTTCTCTCTCAATCCCTTCATACCTTCTGAGATAAAGAAATATGTAAAATGCATCTTTTCCTTTTTCACCCTAATGACTCTTAGGCCTCATAGCATACATTTAATTGCACAGCACAGAAATGAGCATTTTACCAGATGTGCCTTTTTTCAACATGACACTTTTGTGATGGATAAACCTGCAATTGGCAGAATTTTCCTTTCATGCATCTGTTAAAGATCCAAGAGGACTTTCAGATTTGACCTTGGAAGATCAATCTGACTTTGGTTCTCTAGCTTCTGGATTTTTCCCCAGTATTCACAGCAGATATCTGTTCAAAAATGTGCAGATGTAAAGCAGAATAAGTTCCAAACATGATGGTTCTCATCTGCCCTGAATTCTCCTCATCAGGGTTCCCCAACATTCAAGAAACATGTTTCTGGCCTTTTCAAAATAATTCCAAATATTCTTTTCAACTATAATGGAAAAAGCCAAGACAACCAGCTTACCTTCAATATATAGATGTTTTTCACCTGCTTTACACTGAGCAGAGATCGGGGAAACGATTTCTAGGCAACAGGTGTAAGTATCACTGTGTTTGCTTTGTAAATTTTTCAGTATGAATGATACTCTATCATTATGAACCACTACATCACAAAACTCATCACACTTGTGAGATGTTTTCCCGTTGTCTTTATAGAAAGTACAGACTTCTCTCTGTCCTTTCCACAGTTTTATATGAAAACCTTTCACTTGGCTATGCAAAGGGCAGTGAAATGTGAAGTTTTCTTTTGGAAATTCGTCAATTTGCTGAACATGAGAGAGGAGGTCTGCAGAGAGATTGCCTGGAGAAAGACAAAAGGATCAACAAGACTGATTTTTAACAGGAGAAAGAATAAATCTGTTACTAGAACTTCAGTTAGCTGTTTGTTTATTTTCTTCTTTCTTTAAAGACAATGGCATTAAAGAAAAAGAGGAAACAGGGGTGAGTTATGTCATTTCTCCACATCCAAGCTCTGATGATCCATCCGATCCAATTATTGGTTCCATAATCAGAAAGAAAGTTCTCTTTGATCTACAGTTTCATTGAAATCTAGTCTTCTTTGGATATGAGCAAGACCTACTGGGTTGAATACACTTTTGGGGGTTGAATACAGTTTTAGAAGATCATCTCCTCCCCCTGGTGCATCTCCACTACTACAATCACCACCACCCTGAAAATGCTACACAGAGACTAGGGCAATGGTTTTCGACCTGTGGGTCCCCAGATGTTTAGGCCTTCAACTCCCAGAAATCCTAACAGCTAGTAAACTGGCTGGGATTTCTGAGAGTTGTAGGCCAAAACACCTGGGGACCCACAGGTTGAGAACCACTGGACTAGGGGAACCCTGTTTAATGGAATCAGCTTTAGGATCTCATCAGACAGAGGTCCATAAACTGGGAGACAGCGGGCAAAACCATCGGGTGGCACCCCACATTCCCCGCTTACCATCCCATCTGCCTCTAGCTTCATCCCACACTGTCCCTGCTTACTCAAGTAGTCACCCATGTTCCCAGGGCAATCTCTCACTATACTGCTGAGACACATCCAGGATGGAGCCCTGCAGGAAGTAGCCCTCTGTCATTTATTATTTTTTTATTTCAGATATTTGTACCCCGCCCTTCTCACACACCCCCGAGGGGGGGGGGGGACTCAGGGCGGCCTCCAGCTGGCAACAGTCCAATGTACACATAATAATATCTATATAAATAAAAATGTAATGTTCGTTTGTGGTATTTACAGAACTCAAAAACCACTGGGGGGATTGACACCAAATTTGGACACGATACACCTAATAACCCAATATATGTCCACTCAAAAAAATTGATTTTGTCATTTGGGAGTTATACTTGCTGGGATTTATAGTTCACCTACAATCAAAGCATTCTCAACCTCACCAATGATGGAATTGAGCCAAACTTCGCAAACAGCTCTCCCATGGCCAACAGAAAATACTGGAAGGGTTTAGTGGGCAATGTCCTTTGGTTTTGGAGTTGTAGTTCATCTACATCCAGAGAGCACCGTGGACTCAAACAATGATGGATCTGGACCAAACTCTACACGAATGCTCCATGTGCCCAAATGTGAACACTGCTGGAGTTTGGGGGAAATAGAATCTTGACATTTGGGAGTTGTAATTGCTGGGCTTTATAGTTCACCTACAATCACAGAGCATTCTGAACCCCACCAACGATAGAATTGGGCCAAACCTCCCACACAGAACCCCCATGTGGGCCACAGCAACGCGTGGCAGGGGACGGCTAGTACATAATAAAATCCAATAATTACATATATTTAAAACATTAAATCACATTAACTAATTAAAATCTGTTTCTGTTTCAATAACAGCCTGGTGGTCTTATATGAGCTGAATGCTCTAGTTTTAGACTCCGTCAAGCATGTCCATAGTCAATTTCCATAGCAATTGTCATCATTGTCAGTCATGTGATGGGCTCCATCCTGGCTGCGTCTTGGCAGCATCCTAGAACAGGGTGCCTAGTTGTAATTATTTCCTAAATCATATTCGGCATATGAAATGCAACTCTGAATACATCTAGACATGTTTAAGCTTTATGGATTCCAATCAGTCCTAGGTAAGCACAAGTATGCATTGCATTGTGGCAATCATCAGCTGCAATCCCCATGCACATGCTGCTTAAATATGACCTCCATAGGGTGTAGGCACTCTAGCATTGTGCAGACAAGGCCTACATAAGGACCTGATCTTCTACCTTGTCCTCTTTGAGCACTGCTGCCCCCACATTCAAACTATCACAACATGATAAACCCACCAGCTGAAGGATTTATATTCTCTGCATCTTTTTAATTAGTCTCCCAAAGTTTCCAGGTGACACCCGGAACCAAGCAACAACAGAGAGTGGCCAAGATGGTAAACATTATAAACATGCAAGGAGAAGCTGCAGCAGTTTTCTTTTGCCTACTGCAAAAGACAAGATCTGCATCTTCCCTCCACCCTACTGATGGAGTGCAATTGACTTTTGCATTTTGCACTAAATTTGCAGCAAGACAAAGAGGGAAAGTGGGGGGAGAAAGGAAAAACTGGGACAATTTAAAAACAGCCAAAAATGGAGCAGGAAGGATAACCAGGACCTGCTCAACCCATTACGCAAAGTAAGCATTTGCAGTATAGTTGATTTTGCCCAAGGGCGCTCTTGAGGCGCTTTTGGGGGAAAATAGACCTTGACATATGTGAGTTGTAGTTACTGGGATGTATAGTTCACCTACAATCAAAGAGCATTCTGAACTCCATCAATGATGGAATTGAACCAAATATGGCACACAGAACTCCCACGACAAACAGAAAATATATATCAGTGATTGGTTGGGGGGGGGGGCACCAAAATACTGTTTGCTTACCGTTGAAATTTACCTAGGGTGGCCTCTGCCAGGACCATCCCTACCAAATCAAAACTTGGTTCTATTGCTCTGTTTTGTTTTTATTATTCTGAATCTCAGACAATTTTTAGAAGCAATTTTCATCAGTATCCATTCAAGATAAACACATACTCTACTGTTATAGGTGATATTGGTCTATTAAACTGGTTCCCATGCTAGGTAGTTGTCATATGGTTACTACATCTCAAGAGACAGTAATTTTCCAAGTTTTTTTTAAAAAAAGCATACCTTTAACACAAGCTTGAAGTGATGAACAATTTGAAACACCTAAAAGAAATTAAACAATATGGTAATAACATGGCATCATCGTCGTGTATGGATTCTCCGACCCCCAACTCTGAATTGTCCAGAAGATACTAGTACCATGTAAGTTTTAAAATTATGTGATCTACACATAGTTTAAGAAAATATAATATGGATCCTTTTTTGTAAGAATTAAGGTACAGTGCTTACACTGATCTGTGGATAAGTTGAGAGGGTGAGCTATAAGGATTCACCCTGAAATGGTCTGGTGAAATGACTTTCTTTGTTTATGGACCATGAAACATTAGTGGAAAGAGGAAAGTCTGACATGAGAAGTTTGCCATATACCTCCTAGGCCACTTCTACACCGCCATATAAAATCCAGATTATCTGCTTTGAACTCGATTATATAGCAGTAAAGACTTGTATAATCCAGTTCAAAGCAGATAATGTGGATTATCTACTTTGATAATCTGGAATATAGGGCAGTGTAGAAAGGGCCATAGTCCAACACTAGACCACTATTCCAGGGGTCCTCAAACTAAGGTCCGGGGCCAGATACGGCCCTCCAAGGTCATTTACCCGGCCCCTGCTCAGGGTCAACCTAAATCTGAAATGACTTGAAAGCACATAACAACAACAACAACAATCCTATCTCATGCTGCTTAAATATGACCTCCATGGGGTGTAGTGAAAAGCAGGCTCACACTTCCCATTGAAACACTGATAAGTTTATATTTGTTAAAATTGTTCCTTTTTTATTTATTGTATTTTAAAGTGTTTTTGCACTGCAAATAAGATATGTGCAGTGTGCATAGGAATTCATTCATTTTTTTTTTCAAATTATAATCTGGCCCTCCAACGTTTTGAGGGACTGTGACCTGGCCCTCTGTTTAAAACGTTTGAGGACTATCCTGACTCCTTCTTTCAGTCTTAAGAAGAGGGAAAAATGCAACAGGGAATACAAACAGTTCAACCATCAACACAAAAGATCAAAGAGCAGCTGTACAAAATAAAACCAAAAAATAAAGAGATAAATACAATTTATTGTATTGTCGAAGGCTTTCATTGCCGGAATCATTGGGTTTTTGTAGGTTTTTTCGGGCTATATGGCCATGTTCTAAAGGCATTTTCTCCTGACGTCAGGAGAAAATGCCTTTAGAACATGGCCATATAGTCCGAAAAAACCTACAACAACCCAACAACAATTTATTGTTTGACCCATTTTGGGGATATGTATCTTTAAGCACCTGCCATAGCACAAATTGAAGCCTATTGGTAATTAGTTCAGATATGCAAGGTTGTAGCAAAATGATAATCCCACAATGTATGTCTCACAGGTCAAAGCTACTCCAACTCCACTTTGGCCCCTTCCACACTACCATATAAAATCCAGATTATCTGCTTTGAACTGGATTATATGACAGTGTAAACTCATATAATCCCGTTCAAAGCAGATAATGTGAATTGTCTGATTTGATAATCAGAATTATGGATAGTGGAGCCCCCGGTGGCGCAGTGGGCTAAACCCCTGTGCCGGCATGACTGAAGACCAACAGGTCGCAGGTTCAAATCTGGGGAGAGGCGGATGAGCTCCCTCTATCAGCTCCAGCTCTTCATGTGGGGACATGAGAGAAGCCTCCCACAAGGATGATAAAAACATCAAATCATCCGGGCGTCCCCTGGGCAACGTCCTTGCAGACGGCCAATTCTCTCACACCAGAAGCGACTTCCAGTTTCTCAAGTCGCTCCTGACATGACAAAAAAAAATATGGATAGTCAACATTTGATGAGGGTTTATTTTCAACAGCACCAACCTGGCGAAACAAACAACATAAATTAATAAATCACCTTTAAAGGGGCACATTTGCTGGAATCACTAGTTTTAATTTGGTTCTCTGTTTTTAATAGTGTGAAAGCAGTGTTTTTACTGCACTATCTAAAGATAAATCATTATGAATACTACGTGCTGGCACATAAGCATTCTGGATATGATTAAGACAAACCTATACATGCTATTTTGCCAGAAGAATAGGAAACACCAGCAGCAGAGACTGCTTGAGTTGATTTATATCCTGTCTTTTTTCCTATGCGGGATCTAATTCAGTTTTTCTCCCTGCTTTGTCAAATCATTCCGCTCCAAAATCATTATTCAGTTTTTAAATTGTTTCCATTGCAAACTTAGATGTCTTTTCATTATCAGGCTTCTTGACTCCATACCTGATCTTATGCTTTGTACCACCTATAGAGTATGGTATATCACTTACCATGAAGAGTTTTGAAGTGGATGCACAGAAGGCAGAAAGCCAGAGCAGCAACTATCTTCATCCTTTATGAAACGTTAGGCACTAACACGGATCTATTATCCTATTATGAGTCCAGACCTAGAACAAAAATAATATTTATGGTGCCACTCAGCTTTTTAGTAGTCAGGTAATATGCTTGGCTGTTTGCTAGGTTATCTTGTTTAAGTTGAAGAAGTTGTTTCCCCAAGTTGTTATATCCTACACATAGACACAGCAATACGTCAGCATTAAAGGCTGAGCGCTGTGGTTTTCCCAGCTCACGTCTTGGTAGTGGAACTAAGATGACAACACATTTCTGTTTTCAAGTTAGTTCTGTGAACTTGAATCACAAAGTGAACACAGTCTGAAAATAGATATAGTGCTGATGATGACATTCTTATGCAAATCATTGCTTTTAGTCTTAATAATAATCCGGTGGTTATCTATCCCCTGTGGAGAGGAAGCAGAAGTGGGGAAAGGTTCCCAGACAAGAGGACCACCGTTGTTTTCCAGATGACTTTGGATACAACTCTCACCAGCCCTAGTTCTTACAATAATAATAATAATAATAATAATAATAATAAACCTTTATTTATACTCCGCTACCATCTCCCGCAGGACTCGGTTCTGCTTACAAGAGGCAGAGCCCAAAATACATCAGAACAAAAACACAACCACAACAATACAATACAACAATAAATAACTCATAGCAAAGCAAAAACAATAACAAAATATCACGACGCAATTTAAAAACAAGCAAATGGAGAATGAGTTGTTGTAGGTTTTTGGGGCTGTTTGGCCATGTTCTAGAAGCATTCTTTCCTGACATTTTGCCTGCATCTATAGCAGACATCCTCAGAGGTTGTGAGGTTTCACAACCTCTGAGGATACCTGCCATAGATGCAGGTGAAACGTCAGGAGAGAATGCTTCTAGAACATGGCCATACAGCCTGAAAAACTTATAACAACCCAGTGCTTCCAGCCATGAAAGCCTTCTACAATACAAATGTAGAATGATTGTGGAAGTTGCGTTCCCCAAAATTATTTATTTATTTACTATTTATTTATTTTCTATATTTGTATACCGCTCTTCTCAGCCCTCAGAGCGACTCAGAGCGGTTAACAAAGCAAATACAATACTTAAGCATGATAAAAAAACAGTTAAAAACAAGTTAAAAGAATAACTTAAAAGGCCATTATATGCTAATCAAGGTGGTCAGTTGAAACATTCACCCCTAGCTCCAGCAGACAAGAGTCCTTTGTCCCACCCTGGTCATTCCACAGATATGTAAACTCTTTTTCCTAGTTCCAACAGACCTCACTATCTCTGAGGATGCTTGCCATAGATGCAGGTGAAACGTCAGGAAAAAATGCCTCTAGACCAGGGGTCCTCAAACTTTTTAAACAGAGGGCCAGGTCACAGTCCCTCAAACTGTTGGAGGGCCAGATCATAATTTGATAAAAACATGAATGAATTCCTATGCACATTGCACATATCTTATTTGTACTACAAAAAACACTTAAAACAATACAATAATTAAAATGAATAACAATTTTAATAAATATAAACTTAATAGTATTTCATTGGGAAGCGTGGACCTGCTTTTGGGTGATAAGATAGGTTTGTTGTTGTTTGTTTGTTTGTTTTCAAGTAATTTCAGACTTAGGTTGACCCTGAGCGAGGGCCAGGTAAATGACCTTGGAGGGCCGTATCTGGCCCCGGGGCTTATTTTTAGGACCCCTGCTCTAGACCATGGCCATATAGCCCGAAAAAACCTACAACAACCTAAAATAATAACATTATATCAATAAACATCATAACATCTCATCTAGTCTCATAGTTATCTGTTGTTGTTGTTATCGCTTGTATTGTTGTATTATGAGCTCGGCCTCATGTAAGCTGCACCGAGTCCCTTGGGGAGATGGTAGTGGGGTATAAATAAATATTATTATTACTACTACTATTACTTATTATTATTATTATTATTATTATTATTATTATTATAACTGAGGGGGGTATTGTGTCACTGGGATGGTGAATCTTTGTAATTCTTTGTATGAACCTGTTAGAGTTTAGTATATCTGGCAGATTCACTGTTAATTGTAAAGTCAGGTGTGACTAAGCAGAACCGAAATAAACCAGAGTAACTAATGAATGGCAGCTGCAAGTAATAAATAATAGGCTGCAATGGCGATTATGTAATGCAGCAGGTGATTGATTGGGAATATAAATTAAGCAAGCAACCACAACATGTGGACTTCCTTGTAGTGTTTGGGGTTTCCCAATGTGGAGGAGTTTGATTTAGTGAACCAGTGGATCAGATACAGCTTTATACTGTAAGTAGGAGAAGAGAATGTTAATATTGTATAAACTGTGTATATTTTGGATCATGGAGCTATAAAGAGATCAAAAGCCTTCCTGGTTGGAGATAAATGAAGATAAAGTCTACTGTTTGTTTAATGTTTATACTCCAGAGTTACTATCAGTACTTCTGCTGTGTTGCCTGAAGTTTGATAAAGTGTTTAAAGGCTAGAGAAAATATCCAACAGAACCATTGTCCATACTGATGGAATTCAACCTCACATTGCTCAAGTCTGCAGTCCTCAGTAAGAAGCAGAAAGATAGCATTAAGCTCAGCTGAGGAACCCCCCCCCCCCCTGAATGTTTGTAGTTGTTCTGTTTCCTCTCCGTGAGGTGAGAATGCTCTGTCAAGTATCCTGTTTTGTATTTTTAAATACTCTGCTATTTTGGGAGATTTCCCTAACACATACAAGGAAATGAAGGAAGATGGTGGATCTTCCCTGGCCCCAGGTTTAGGGGAATTGGGAGACAAAGAGATGATGGGCCACCACAAGACCTAAAATTCCATCTGAATATGAGCAAATGAGAAATTACAGTGTAGAAAAGAGTTTCTCAGACTGTGCTCTTCCAGATGTTTTGGACTACAACTCCCACAATTCCTAACAGCTGGTAAGCTGGCTGGGATTTCTGGGAATGGAATTCTAAACACCTCGAGGAGCACAGTTTGAGAAACACTGATGCAGAAGTATCTTCTCAGTCTAAGGGGGACTCTATATCAAACATCCCAAGCTAGCCAGATAGCATGAATGTGCCTTCAAGTTCATCTTGCCCTTTATTCAGGAGCCCTCATTTATGATCCTTTTCATACTGGAAAAATCCTAAGTTCCAGAAAGAGCATGGTTTCTTATTCATTCTTCAGAGCTCTTATGGTCAGGAAGTTCTTCTGAATTTTCAGGTGGAATCTCCTTCCCTGTACTTTGAACCCACAGCTCCAAGTCCTAGACTCCAGAGCTGCAGAAAACAAACCTGCTCCCTCTTCCTTGTGGCATACTTTCAAACATTTAAACATGGCTATTATGTCTCCTCCCAACCCTCTCTTCTGCAGTCCAAGCACACCCAGCTCTTTAAGCTGCTCCTCATAGCGGTTCATAGTTTCCAGATCTTTGATAATTTGCCCTCCTCTGGACGTGCTCCAGCTTGTCAATATTCCTCTGAATTGTGGTGCCCAGAATTGGACACAGTTTTATTCCAGGTGAGGTCTGACCAAAGCAGAATACAAAGGAACCATGACTTCCCTTGATGTAGACCAGTGGCTCTCAACCTGTGGGTCCCCAGATGTTTTTGGCCTTCAACTCCCAGAAATCCTAACAGCTGGTAAACTGACTGGGATTTCTGGGAGTTGTAGGTCAAAAACATCTGGAGACCCCAGGTTGAGAACCACTGATCTAGACACTATACTCTTTCTGATGAAGCCCAAAATCTCGTTAGCCTTTAAAGCTTCTGCATCACATTGTTGGCTCATGTTCAACTTGTTGTTCACTAAAACTTCAAGATCTTTTTCACATGGATTGTTGTCAAGCCAGGCATCACCCATCCTGTATCTTTGTATTTCATTTTTTTCTACCTAAGTGTAGCATCTTACATTTGTCCTTGCTAAAATTCATTTTGTTAGTTTTGACCCAGCTCTCTAATCTGTTAAAGTAATTTTGAATTCTGATCCTGCCTTCTGGAATATTCAATATCACTTGATAAGTATGCCCTCTAAAGCAGTGGTTCTCAATCTGGAGTCCCCAGATATTTTTGGCCTACAACTCCCAGAAATCCCAGCCAGTTTACCAGCTGCTAGGATTTCTGGGAGTTGAAGGCCAAAAACATCTGGGAAACCTAGGTTGAGAACCACGGCTCTAAAAATTCATCCAAACCATTAATAAAAATGCTAAACAGTACTGGGGTCAGGACTGAACCCTCATTATGGGAGCCCACTAGTCACTTCTTTCCAGGATGAAAAGGAATCATTGGTGAGCACCCTTTTGGTCTAGTCACTGACCCAAACCCACCTAAGAGTAGTATTGTCTGGCCCACATTTTACTAGTTCGTTTGCAATAATACCTTGTCAAAGGCCTTGCTAAAATAAAGATATGCCACATCCACAACATTCCCTGCATCTATCAAGTTTGTAACTCTAGCCAAAAAAGTTAAGATTAGTCTGGCATAATTTGTTTTTGAGAGACCCATGTTGACTTTTAATGATCACAGCAGTCTTTTCTAAGTGATTACAGGCTACCTCATTAATGATCTGCTCCAGAATCTTTCCTGGTATCTAGTAAATATCTGAATTCTAGCACCAGTAGGTTCTGGCTTTCCATGTCCATTGTTTGCTACATTCTGACCTTTCGTCTTGCTCTATGGGCTTTACTAAGCCAATGTAGGACATGAGATGTGCCAACAAGACAACTGTACATTGTGTTACATATTCCTCAATGGCTTACAACCTTTTGCTTCCATGTTGGAAGGATCAGCTGAACTCAAACAAGGTAGCTTTGAGGATATCTCAATGTGGAAGTAGTATTATGTACCATGGTTATTTCCTACTACTGCAGCCCACTTTCTGTATTATTGGCTTACCCACTTCCTTATCAAACTTAGATCTTCTTCTGTATCCAGTCTTTTTTGTGTGACTACCCTGAGTTCTTTGGACTGTCAGCATACCTACCACTCTCCACTCATTCCATCAACTGCACTAGTCACTACTTCATCATTTGGCCAATCTGTATAATTTTCGTCTTGCCACTTCCCTTCAAGTACATTATTAAGCTTCACTCGTGCCTCAACTTCAGTGGACCTGCATTCTACCTAATATTGTCCAGACTTGCAGTTCAGCTCTGCCCTTGCTACCATGCCTAGACTCATCATTGACATGTGTCACGCCTAGGTCACAGTTTCTGATGTTAGGTTTATTGAGC